AATCTGTCTCCTATGAGGATCTGTCCCCCTCGACGTATCTGCGCATGTGTCGGAGATCGCCGATCGGCTGCTAATGCTTGAAACTGGCACATGCGCAGATACGTCGAGGGGGACAGATCCTCATAGGAGACAGATTTTCATGCTACACCGGAACGGCGCGGGAACACGGCGAGAGGAACGCGCGGAGCAAAGGTAAGTGAATTGACACAGGGGGGACTTGGGGACTTAATATGGGGAATGAATTACTATAGGGGGGGATGAATTACTATATGGGGGATGTATTACTATATGGGGGATGAATTACTATATGGGGGATGAATTACTATATGGGGGATGAATTACTATGGGGGATGAATTACTATGGGGGATGAATTACTATATGGGGGATTAATTACTATAGGGGATGAAATACTATGGGGGATGAATTACTATATGGGGGATGAATTACTATGGGGGATGAATTACTATATGGGGGATGAATTACTATATGGGGGATGAATTACTATGGGGGATGAATTACTATGGGGGATGAATTACTATAGGGGATGAATTACTATAGGGGATGAATTACTATATGGGGGATGAATTACTATATGGGGGATTAATTATTATGCTTACTATGGGGGAATATTACTATACTTACTATGGATTACACATACACATCATTCATCTACTCTTGGTCCGGCCCCCGGGTCCAATATATGAACCCATTGCGGCCCTCAAGTCAAAAAGTTTGCCCACACCCTGTCCTAGACTGATTACTGAGCCAAGAGTGAATGAAATGTTGCTGTATGCCCGGATGCCTCTGAACAAGTTATGGAAAAGAACTGGTTAAATTCCAGTGACTCCTTTGGGGGTAGCATTACATGTGGTTTCTTCACAGGAAGTATCAGTTCTTAGACTACAGACAGAGGTCATGCATTACCTGTGTAGTGCCTACTGCATGCTCATGTTTGAACACAAACAAAACTTCTGACTCTGGAATATGAAGATATCCTATAGGCTCTGCATACAGGGGAACAAATGGCACCATAAAACTACATAATCAATGCACATCTTATGCAAGTGAAAAACACAAGGAGCAAGTGGGAAGGTTTATAAGGCCTTTAACCATTTGCCTACCGGGCAGTTATACCCCCTTCCTGCCCATGCCAATTTTTAGCTTTCAGCGCTCTAACACTTTGAATGACAATTGTGCGGTCATGCAACACTGTACCCATATGAAATTTGTATAATTTTTTTGAGACAGATAGAGCTTTATTTTGGTAGTATTTAACCACTAGGGGACCGCCCACAGTACATATACTGCGGCAAAGCAGCCCCTGTAGGCAAGATCACGTGATCCTTGTTTACATGGTACGGGGGCGTGCGCGAGGCTCGCGACCGCCCTGTCCGTGGCACCAATCGCGGCTGCGGGTGTTAATCACCAGTTTCCGGCCGGTGATTACCTGCCAGTTCCTGGCGATTGCTGGCAAACACTGACACAGAGCACAGCTGCATTGTTTTCAATGTAGCTCTGCTCCCTCTCAGTTCCCAGCTCACTGTTCCGGAGAGCAAAGCTTAGTTTTCCAGGACAGCGTGCAACAGTGAAGAGCACACACCCCCCGCCCACTAGTAAAACACTCCCCTTACACAGTTAACCCATTGATTGCCTAAAATGTTAAACCCCTTCCTCCCCAGTGCCATTAGTACAGTGTCAGTGTTTTTTTTTGCACTGATCACTGTATTGGTGTCACTGGGGATGTCGGTGACCCCAAGTCAGTTCGCCCCCAGTGTCAGAATGTCCGCCGCAGTCCCACCATAGGTCGCTGATCGCTGCCATAAGTCACTGAGTGCCGCCATAAGTCGCTGATAGCCGCTATTATTAGTATACAAAAAAAAAATACAGTATCTATACCGTCATTTGTAATTGCTATAACATTCACGTAAACCAAATAATTTAAACTTACTGGGATTTATTTTTGCAAAGATATGTCGCAGAATACATTTTGGCTGAAATTTATAACGAAATTTGATTTTTACATTTTTTTACTGGACGTGTTTTTATAGCAAAAGGTCCAAAATATACATTTTTTTTCTCACAATTGTAGGGTTTTTTATAGCGCAAAAAAATAAAAAACGCACAGGCGATCAAATACCACTGAAAGAAAGCCCAATTAATGGGGGAAAAGGATGTAAATTTCATGTGTGTATATATATATATATATATATATATATATATATATATATATATATATACACACTGGGTTGGACTGACAACTCATGGGGCCCCCAGGCAATAGGGGATCATGGGGCCCCTGTGTCCTTGGCCAAACTCAAAAAAGCCTATGAAAAAGGTACCAGGGGCATCTCATAGGGCCCCCTACTGACCCCAGGCCCTCGGGCAGTGCCAGAGTTTCCAAATGGTCAGTCCGCCCCTGTATATAAACGTGATTCACGCTCCCGTGGTTTTCACGCCCCACCCAGATAGAGTCAGATTGCCCCTCAGTACACCAGTCATCACATTTAACCACTTGATTGCCAGGAAGACGCTCATACACAATAAACCTCCATTGCTAGTATAGTGTCTGAACGGATCAATATGTTTGATCAGATCAGCACTATACCAGCGTTCACATTAGTATAGCGTCCCCCAAAATGCAGCATTAGTAGGATCAGCTCCTGCACCTGCCAGCACCTGCGTTTAGCCCCTATGCTTACCTCCCCTTCTCCCCCAGCATGTGCAGTGCCAGTAGGTCACTGTTACTTGATACATTGCACACAAAACCGCAGTGTTGGCAGAATCAGGCCTGATCTCTGTTAGCACTTGCCGGTAAATTTTGATGACTCTCATATGCAGCAGAGTGCCAGTACTAGTGTCACGCTACCTTTTGGTGAACTGTTGAGTACTAATGGCCTAGTACTTCCTGGTCTTTCACATACCTCTTAGATTGTAACCTCCAAGGGGCAGGGCCCTCCTAACCCTCTTGTATTGAACTGCATTGTTCCTGTATTGTCTCCCGTTATATTGTACAGCGCTGAGCAAACTGTTGGCGCTATATAAATCCTGTATAATAATAATAATACCAGCACTGCAGTATCACTTGGTGACGTGGCGAGTCCCATAAGTGCAGTACAAGTTGATGCGGTGGCGAGCACAAGTTTTGTCCCACAACCAACAAGAATTCGCACATAGGCCCGTAGAGCCCCTAGTATCCTTCCAGATGTGCTTGCAAATCCTGATTGGCAGCCCACAAATTCTGCAGCACCCGTATTCCCCCATTCACTGCCCAACCCGGAATTCAGGTGGAAATAGCAAATTTAACTACTCTCCTTGGTTTTTTTGGAGCTGTTTTTCATGGAAAATCTGTATGCATTGATTGTGGATCAAAGCAATTTAACAGATTATCGCCGCCAACCCAGATTCAAACTTTGCCAGACCATTCGCATGGAAACCCATTACATTTTCCGAATTTCAATTTTTTTTTGGACCTAACCCTCAACATGGGCATTACTAAAAAAAAATAAATTGCGGTTATATTGGTCCACAGACCCGATTCATCATATGTCCATGTTCTCCGCTGCCATGGCCAGGCATAGATGTGAGAGTATAATGTGTTTTATGCATTTCAACAACAATACACTCTGTCATCATTGGGGTGACCCTGAATTTGACCAGCTCCACAAAATTCAGCCCCTCAGAAATCATTTTAATCAAAAATATGCAGATGTCTATACTCCCCAGCAAAAAAATCTGCGTTGATGAGTCCCTCACTAATTTTTCTGCCCAACTTGCATTCAAACAATTTCGCCCCAGACCTGTGAGAGGGCAACAGGCTATACTTATACGTTTCGGATTTATGAGGGCAAAGAGGGCAATCTTCCATGGACTCAATGGGGTTTATTTACTAAAGCTGGAGAGTCCAAAAATCAGACTCCCTTCTGCATAGAAACCAATCAGCTTCTAACCTCAGCTTGTTCAATGAAGCTTTGGCAATGAAACCTGGAAGCTGATTCGTTTCTATGCAGAAGGGAGTCTGATTTTGGACTCGCCAGCTTTAGTAAATAAACCCCAATATGTCTCTTAACAGATAGGTTAGGATATCTTCTTTCCAAAAAGGGGTCATTTGGGGGTGTTTGTACTATACTGGTATTTTAGCACCACAAGAAATGTGATGAGCAGTCGGAAGGTAAAAGCTATGTAAATTCCATTATCTATACCATAGCTTGTAGATGCTATAACTTTCACACAAAGCAATAAATATACACTTATTGGGATTTTTTTTTAACCAAAAACATGGAGTAGAATACATTTTGGCCTAAATTTATGACAGAATTTTAGTTTTTTTTTGGATATTTTTTGGCACAGAAATGAGAAAATATATATATTTTTTTTTTCAAAAAAAAATTTGTTTTCTCAAAACTTTTTTTGTTTATATAGCTCCAAAAATAAAAAGCGCACAGGTGATCAAATACCACCAAAAGAAAGCTCTATTTGTGTGAAAAAAAGGACATTTCATTTATGTACTGTATTGCATGACTGCACAATTGTCAGTTAAACTAGTGCAGCACTGTATAGCAAAAAAATGGCGTAAATTGCAGTATCTATACTATAGCTTGTAGATGCTATAACGTTCACACAAAGCAATCAATATACACTTATTGGGAATTGTTTTTACCAAAAACATGTAGCAGAATACATTTTGGCCTAAATTTATAACTAACTTTGAGTTTACTATATATTTATTATAGCTGAAAGTAAAAAATATAGTTTTTCTTCAAAATTTTTTAGTCTTTTTTTGTTTATAGCGCAAAAAATAAAAAGCGCACAGGTGATCAAATTCCACCAAAAGAAAGCTCTATTTGTGTGAAAAAAAGGACGTAAATTTCATTTGGGTACAGCATTGCATGACCGTGCAATTATCAGTTGAATTAGTGCAGTGCAGAGTAGCAAAAAGAGGCCTGGTCATTAAGGGGGGTAAATCCTCTAGAGGGCAAGTGGTTAATCATCTCTGGGTTTTTTATTTTTTGCTAAACAAACCAAAAACAACAGAAAATTTTGAAAAAAAGTTTTAGTTTTTGCTATAAAATTTTGTAAACAAGTGATTTTTCTCCTTCACTGATGTGCGATAATGAGGTTGCAGTGATGGGCACTGATAGGCTGCACTGATAGGTGGCACTGATGGGCACTGATGAGGAGACACTGGTAGGTGGCACTGATAGGCATTGACAGGCATCACTGATGGGCACTGAAAGGCAGCACTCATATATGGCACTGATAGGCGGCACTGATAGGCGGCACTGACTGGCACTTTTAGTTGGCACTGATAGGCGGCATTGACAGGCACTGATAGGCGGCACTGACTGGCACTTATAGGCGGAACGGATTGGCAGCACTGATAGGTGACACTGACTGGCATTGATAGGTGGTACTGAAAGGCAGCTCAGATGGGCACCGATATGTGGCATTGATGTGCACTGGTAGGCACTGATATGTGGCATTGATGTAGTACTGATGGGCACTAGCAGGTGACATTGATGAGCACTGCAGCTGGCATTGATGGGCAATGACAGGTGGCACTTCTGGGGCTAAACTGATCATCAGGCCACACTAATCATCAGTGCCCTGATGATCTGTGTACATGTCCCCTCTGAGTAATGCCGATTACCAGCGCTCCTCTCCTCTCGAGCTGTCAGCGTGACAGCTCGTGAGGAGAGAAATGGCGATAACTGGCATTTCCTTATTATTGGACACAGCTGACCACATGACCGAGCCAACGTCTTTGGCTCTGTTGATAAGTGATCCGCTGTGTCCGAGGGACACAGCGCACCACCGATCGCCGCGCGTACCCAGAGCCACGCATGCGCGGTTAGAGTGGGAGGACGTCATGTCACAGAACAAGAGAACTACCTTGTGCCCGTCATTTCCTTAAATAAAAACAAACAACAATGCATACAGCAAAAACAAAATTAAATAAAATTAATTATTCTGAATGCAACTCCCCTCACCCTAAAAAATCAGCAGCACAGATAACTGACAGAGTGCTCTGCACATAACTGTAAATTTGGTTCTTAAAATAATTGCAGGAATGTGGACAGTGTATACCATGTGATGCTTTGTGACAAGGATAACATGTAGAATTACGGCACAGGTAAAGTCCATAATGACCTGTTTAAGGAGAACTCATTAATGTTTGCCAGCTCTCTCTCAATACACTCATTGATGTTTCCGGATAACTCTATTTAATTGCAGGCACACACATTTTACACAATACTTTTACATGTATTGAACATTCACATCAGTTTCTGCATTTGAGGAGCTTACAGGCTAAGGTCCCTATGCATGCATAGATATACACACACATACTAGGGCCAATTTAAACAGAAGTCAATTAAGTTAGCAGTCTGTCTTTGGAGTTTGGAAATAAACTGGCATACCTAGGGGAAACCCACACAAGCACAGATAGAACATGCAATTTCATGCAGCTAGTATCAAGCCAAGGACCCCAGTGTTGCAAGCTAGAAGTGCTAATCATTAAGTGATTATGCTGCCTACTGTAATATACATATTGATGTCTCCCTACTCGTTATATTACACCAATTAACATCCTTATGTCCTCTGTATTAAATCAATTAATATCTTCCTGGTGTTTGAAATACATTCATTGATGTTTTTCTGCTTTCTGCAGTATACTGTACCTATTGACGTGTCTATGCTTTATACGTTCATTGAGGACTCCTCGTTTCCCCTAGAACCAGGACACAGCCTTGAAGTAAAAGTCAAATGGTTGGCAACCAGAACCCTGTCTGTCACACAAGGAGGTTTTAGTTCAGTTAACCTATTTGGGGTTCACTCTTGTTTGGCTGCCCTTTCACCTTGTCATTGCAGACATCTATTCAGTGTACCCAACATATATTACAACTTCTTTTCCTAGAGTAGTGGATGAATATGCTTCCTTGTAATCCACCATTCAAACTTTGAATGTCCCACAGTTCTTGCATCTATTGGAGCAGAATCACCTCCTCTGCAAGAATTCACTCTCGAGCAAAAGAAACATCTGAACAACTGGTTTGAAGTATGTGCTTGTGTGTTCTCTATAGGACTGGGGGGACTATGGTTTTAACCTGGCTTCCAACCTTTCCATACACATTTGAAAAGCTGCACCCATAAGGGAAAGTTGCTGAAACATTCCTCCAGCTATTTGCCAAGAAGTTAAGGACTTATAGCAGGAAGTGTTGCAGGGAGATTTACCCTGAGATTCACCCACAGTCCTCATCAAGAATAACAATGGAAGCATACATTTCTGTGTGGCCTACAGGTTGGAGGTTGAATGCTTGCACCCATTGTTTATACTTACCCTCTATCTCAGGTAGAAGATTCCTTGATGTCAGGTTCCCCTCAAGAAGAAAAAATTATGAAATTACTTTTTTCTTTTGGGATTTATATGGTTTCAATCATATCAGTTGAAGCAAGCTGCTCCTGAAATATACATCCCATAATAATGGAATAAATTGCAAGACCCTGATATCTCCTAACTCCTGAAGTTCCTGTCTAAAAATAGGAGACCTTGTTGTTGAGAATGACTCCAACTCTCACTGTTTATGTCGCACAAGAACAACAGGAAAAATTCACAATGGACTTTTTTATTGATGGATACTACTCCCTACTAAACAATGAGATTTTTGTCAAATCATGATTTCCCAACCAGACTCTTTGGGAGTTAGCTTTAAACTGCATCATACAGGTGGGTGTTTTTGCACTGAATGTACAGAAGCATGTGCTACCTTTATTGTATAGATCTTTTCTATTAGGAAACTTTAGAGCACACTACTCTTCTTGCCATTAATTCTAGAGGCTTCTGAGCATTGTTATGCCCTAGTGTTTGTTAACTACGTTTCTAAATTAGCCATTGTGGCACTGTAGTGACAGACTGCCATCACTACAATCAAACTATTCTGAACACATATAGTCCAACCATATGGGATTTCTCAAATGAATTTTGTCAAATCAAGGCCTCAAATTGGAATCCCAAGTTTGATCTGTTGCCCCAGCAGAATTCAGAAATTGCATACCACTCCTTATCACCCACAAGGTAATGAAGTAAGCAAACATTTCAATCAAACTTCATTGACCATGATTTTTTCCTTGGAATAGGAACACCAGGAACCAGGGGTGGACTGACCATTTGGAAACTCGGGCACTGCCCGAGGGCTCGGGGTCAGTAGGGGGCCCCATGAGATGCCCCTGCTACCTTTTCCATAGGCTTTTTTGAGTTTGGGCAAGGACACAGGGGCTCCATGATCTCCTATTGTCCGGGGCCCCATGAGTTGTCAGTCCGCCCTTGCCAGGAACACTACCAAATGTTTTGAGCTATGATTCGTGGACCTATAACCGGACAGTCCACAAGCTATATGCAATTCTTTTTGATTTTTGGTTGGAAAAGTCTATCAGCTAAAACTTGTTATTTACATCATAATGCATCAGTAACCTGTGGCAGTACATTAACCCCTTCTTGCTCCCCTTTCCTGACTAATAACATACTTAACTGCTTGCTCAGTCCAGTTCACAGGAAATACTATATGATTGAGTCTCTGCAATACATTACACACTGTTAATGTCTGAAGTAATGTTTAGGAGGATCTGCCTGTTGCTAAAGGTATTGCTCACTTAAGAATGAGATCATCCATACCCTCTCCCTCACGGCACTGCCTCAACTTTCCCTTCCTGTCTAAAAGATGACATCACATCAGAGGACTAGAAATGATCTTTCCAGCAGAGATCACTCCACATGACAGAGAATGTAATGAAATAATGCATACTGGGCAGCCCACTGCAGCTGAACATGTATACTGTATGCATTGTCTGTTCTGGGCAGTGGCAGTGATCTGTGCACTTGCTCTTCAACCGCAAGACTTTACTGACAGCACTGCCTGCACTGAACAGGGAGGAGGATCAGTGCAGTAGGGGAGCATTTATAGGAACCATGCCCTGTATCTGTGTCTCTCCTCCCTCCAGCAGCTGAAAGCCAACAGGAGGGAGGGGGCAGCTTTAAGCTGCTGCAGAGAGCCACACAGCGCATCGTTCCTGTAATTAACCCCCTCTCAACTGTACTGATTCCCCCTGTTGTCCTGGCCCCTCTACAGGAATCCTGGTGGTACCCCCTTATTAGCAGCCCTGGTCACACACTCTCCGGCCTGGCACAAGGGTCTCTATTTTAAATAATCATCCCGCAAAGGTAAATTGCAGTGGTCATTTTGAGATAGTCTAAAATCCATTGCTGGCAGGATCAGAGTGGTCTCTAGTGGCAGAGAACAGTCTGTATGAACTTATAGTCAATATACCACATGGCAAATTATTGTGACTGCATTGAAACATTAACAGTTCTCTAGTACACGTATACAACTGGTGGTATAACAGATGTATCTTAAGTGGCTACATAACTACAACATGTTCATAACAACAACATGTTCATTTCCTTCACCCACTGTGCCTGACAGAGGCCTCAGAACAGTATAATGGGATAATAACAGACAGGGCAACCTAATAAATAGCCATGGACAAGAAGTATTTTCTGAATACTTTAGCTTAGAGAGAGAATTTGGTTTGATGTACAACTTGCAGATAAATACTGGGTGACAATTTGACCTTAATGGGCTATATTATATAATGACTAAAAAGAACTAATCAGTAGAACCGATTCGCACTGACCATGATCCAACCCTGTAAAAGTAGGGCTAATTAAACTGCACTGGTGCAGTGTATCAGTGCCATTTAGTCTGTTATGTTTCCTGAGTTCTTTTTATCAGTTCCTCATTGATCTTCTGTTGCTGATTTGATTTGCCTCTGACTCTGCTTTAATGCCACCTGTACCGACCCCTGGCTTGTCCCTTGACTACGCTCTGCCTGTTCCTTCTGTTTATCCGTCCTGCTGTTACTGACCTTGACCTGTCTCTGGACTACTCTCTGCCTGCTGTCTGAATCTGATCTGCCTGCCAGTTGCCGACTCAGACTGTCTGACCACATCTCGCTGCCATCCTGCTTCTGTGCCAAGCCATCTGCACTCTTCCCTGGCTCCAGCCCTTCAGCCTTTGGGATCCAGTCCTGCGTTCCAGACACTCATCAGTACCTGCCAGCAAGAGACTTACCAGGCACTTGTGCCACTCTGTGCTCTGGCACTCCCTATCACTTTACCAGGGCTCCTGAGCCAGAGCTGTAAAAGAGGCCTTCCCCAGTGCTTCAGGCCCCACTACCAGATATGTTACAGTAACTTCCCCCTCAGTGCCCCAATACCTAACCCCTTCTCTCCGGCGTTTCAGACGCCGTGAGGCGGGGCGTGTGGGGAGTGGTTTAGGCATCATTTGACCGCCGTGACGCGGTCACATGATCGGGAAAGGTCCCGATCGAAAGAGCAGGGCGCGCGCTCTCAGCACATGTTTTTTCTTACCTGAATGCAAATATTCAGCTGCTCGGGCATCTAGGCCCAGACGCCTAAAAATGTGCGGCCGGCGTAAAGGGGTTAAGCTCGATCTCGATCCAGTGACTCTCCCACGTCTCTCCCTCCTCAATGGCTAAGATACAGCAGCGGGAGCCTTTAGCTTCCACTGCTGTCAATCACAACTAGTGAAGAGGGGTGGGGCCGAGTCATGCTCTGTATGTCTTATAGACACCAAGAGCAGGGTTCAAGAGCGAGCATGCATGAGTGCCCCAAGAGCAAGCAGCTTGCCAGGGGCCATTCACAGGGGGGAGGAGCAAGAAGTGTTGGCATGGGACCATTGCGCAGAGCAGGTAAATGACATCTGAACCTTTAGTATCACTTTAGCTCAGTATCTGACCCAGGGGCGGACTGACCATTTGGAAACTCGGGCACTGCCCGAGGGCCCAGGGTCAGTAGGGGGCCCCATGAGATGCCCCTGGTACCTTTTTCATAGGCTTTTTTGAGTTTGGCCAAGGACACAGGGGCCCCATGATCCCTATTGCCCGGGGTCCCCATGAGTTGTCAGTCCGCCCCTGATTTGACCCATAACAAGCTTGCAGATAATGGCATGAAACTTTCCTCCTTTTCTACTGAATGCAACACATTATCCCAAGTCCATTAACCACACATTAGTATAAACGATTCCCTCAAGTTCACTTTTGGAACACGTTACATGTTCTGTCTGTATTTACAGTGGAACATGTTACAGCTCCTGTTGCCTCTCCACCCAATTTGCCTTTCCCTGTAACAGCAGGCGGGGGTTCTTCTTGCACCTGCTGACACACTTTGGAAATAACAGGGCTGCGTGGGGCTCCTTCCACACAGCCGCACCATTCATTCACAGTTTCCTGATGAACACCCTTGTACATTCACAAGCCCTGCAGCTTCAAAGTGACAAACCGTATGGAGGTGCGGGCTGAAAGCTGTAGGGCTTGTCTGTAGAAGCTTGACTTTGCACCCTTGAATAATAAAGGCATATTTTTTTCTGCAAAAAATATGTGCATTTATTAGTTTTCTATAAAGATGACCATATCCTTTAATATACAAATACATATTTATTACTACAATAAAATTATTATGGCAATATAAGCATGTAAAAATGGGCAAGTCAAAACAAAAAAAACTTTAAGGTAAACGCTAATAAATTCATGATGTACTTGCTGAAAATACAGTATATTTATCCTTAAGATGTTTTTATTTAAGAGTTCAGATACAGCTTATCAAGATGCTTACAGGATGTACAAAATAATTCTGTTAGTTTTCCACAAGGCTGAGTGTAAAGGTTAAAGCCTTTAATTAAATCAGAGAATTTAACAGAACAACAACATTTCAAAAATCATTCATTAAACTTGTTCGATTGAATATACTGGCTAAAGGTCTCAGGTAAATTAAAGAGCAATTCCTGGCAGCAAGTACAACCAATCAGTGAATAGATATCCAGAAAATACAGCATCTTTGATAATATCCGATATCCACTCAGTTTTTTTCTTAAAGAGAAACTATAATGAGTTAGACTTTATTGTATTTATTTACCTATTACTTTAAGTTCCAAACTTTCAGGTACCCTTGGGTGTAGAGAGTTGAGCTATAGAAAAAAATACATGTTGAAGTTACACCGATGACAACCTTCCGAAAATACCTAAAAACAACATAAAGATTACTCTAACAACTAGCGCTGGCAAGTGTTATGAGCATAAAGTGGTTTTAATTTGTGTGTCAAGTTTTATTTCTGTATAGCAGTTTGATAGAAATGACGGCACTCTAAGAATCACATGGAAAGCAATATAACAAATGCTGAGCATGTTGTTGAAAAACAGATAAGAAGTACATACAATCAATGTATGAAACATATAAATCTAAAAAAAATAAGTCTAAAAAATAAATCTAAAATAACTATACTGCAGATGGCAATAAGTCCATGCTCACCAGCAATGCTGCCTGTAGGAAATGTAATTTTAGTCCATGACATGTGCTGCAAATATGATAGCTGGTAAATCTCCCTCAATGCTGAAGATAGAGTCTGAGCTCCCAGGATGCACCTGTTTCCTTTTCTCAGAATGGGATGATGGGAATTTTTATTAAGGCTAAACAGTCTTTTTCTTCCGCAAAACAGTAAATTTCGTCTGGGCTCCATCTAGTGGTAAAATTTAATATTTCAGGCAGGACAACATGATGAATTAACCTGTTGGAGGCAGAATACCTCCCATGAAATTTCTTGTCTTGCTTAGCTTACTACTTTAAGGAGCCATTTAGACCTATGCATGCCTGTAGAGGTGTGTTTTTTTTTTCTAGTATTATCTAGGTGTGTTGTCCTATGCATGCCTGTAGAGGTGTGTTTTTTTTTTTCCTAGCATTATCTAGGTGTGTTGACAGAGCTTTGATACATGTTGATGTGCGTTTACTATGTATATTTGATTTTAGAATCTGGAGTGGATAGGGGTAAGAACCATTGACCAAGGCTTGTTAATGCTTTGTTGCTAACATAGCAAAAACAAATTAAAATGCACGTGTAGCCAAAAAACATTGAAAATAATACTGCACCAATGCCCCCAAACCTGAGTTAGTTGGATCAGCATGTGAATATACTGGTGCAAGACAGACAGGATCAGCTTGCCAAGCTTTAGTAGACTTCAACAAAATGGTGGCTGTCTGCACACAGACATTAACCTCCCTGGCGGTATTCCCGAGTGTAGCTCGGGGTAAAGTTTCAGTACCAAAAGCGGTAACCCCGAGCTACACTCGGACTTACCATGCGGCGTTG